TCTTTTTCTCTTTTTTTAAACTTTTATTTAATGAATATAAATATCCAAAGTACAGCTTATGGATTACAATGGCTTCCCCCCCATAACGTCCCTCCTACCTGCAACCCTCCCCTTTCCCACTCCCTCTCCGCTTCCGTTCAAATCAAGATTCATTTTCGATTCTCTTTATATACAGAAGATCAGTTTAGCATACATTAAGTAAAGATTTCAACAGTTTGCTCCCACACAGAAACATAAAGTGAAATATATTGTTTGAGTACTCGTTATAGCATTAAATCTCAATGCACAGCACACTAAGGACAAAGATCCTCCATGAGGAGTAAGTGCACAGTGACTCCTGTTGTTGACTTTACCAATTGACACTCCTGTCTATGGCATCAGTAATCTCCCTATGCTCCAGTCATGAGTTTCCAAGGCTATGGAAGCCCTCTGAGTTCTCCGATTCTTATCTTGTTTAGACAAGGTCATAGTCAAAGTGGAGGTTCTCTCCTCCCTTCAGAGAAAGGTACCTCCTTCTTTGAAGACCTGTTCTTTCCACTGGGATCTCACTCTTTACACGAGGTGCTAATGATGCTACAATGGGAGAAGACAGTCACAGTGTGAATTAATCTTATGTGAAGTTAAGGTAATGAAAAAAAGGAAAGAAGGGTTGATACATGCTACTACATGGTGAACCATGACAACAGCACTGACTAACACTTGGGAAGTTTTTAATCAGTGATAACTATACCAGCAGGTTCCATCATCGTTACTATTTCTAAAAGTGAGACCGTATATAAAAGGACCTTTCTAAAGCATCTAGCCCATGGCAGACTCAAGAAAATGTTAGGACTGTTTCTTCTAGTGAGAATTGCATGTTTTTCCTTCTCATGCGAAAAATACAAGTTACAAACCATTTATACTAGCCAAGCAGGCAACTGAAAATTCACTTTTTCACATTAATTCAGCTGGCTGAAATAGGGACACGATTAAAAAATTCAAAGGATTCAGTTTCAATAGGTAATGTTTCCCTTTCCAAGAAATCTCTGGGTGAACATTCACCCTGTTGTCCTGGAATGACCTCAGTTCAGGGACTTTATCCAGAACTGAGAACAAACAGGAGTTCTGGACTTAGTTATGAGGTTACAGAACTCATCTGTTAGCTTCATCTGTAAATTTATGTTGTTTTCATTTAGAAGGTTCTCTGTTATAGACCACATGGTTTCTGACTTAGTCAAGTTTAGTTTCTTAATCATTCAGAAACTCTCAATTCAACTGGGCGATGTTAACTGAGGGAGGAGCTTCCTCCTTTCTCCTTAACTCCCAGGGCTTTTGTTGATTTTCTCGCAGCTCACTTATCCTACCTTTTAGTGTAAGAAACCTCCAAAAGACTTGCTCAGGTAAACATGGCAGTGAAAGCTTTTGCTTCTCCAGTTTGGATTTCAGGAGTTCCTTACATTTCTATTTCCAACCCAGACAGATATCATGTATCAAGTATTTTTAGATGGGATGCTCACTTTTACAAACTGTTACACAAGAGTCAGATAAAACCATGTGACATATTTTAATACCCAGGAGATAGAGTATAAAATGCCCATGTATACATAGTAAGTGTGGCATAGGGTCTGACTGCTATATCCAGGCTTCAGAACTCTGACTTCAGTAGCCATGATTCTTTGAGGTCTTGAGAGTAATTTGAAAACAGTAAACAAAGAATGATGTGACTTGCAAAATCTTTGCAGATTGCATTGATGTCTGGATATTTGATTAGACAGTATGGGCACAAGCATCATGGACAGCTCCATCCCGGCTCTTTGTAGACAGCATGTTTCTTTGTAGAAACATCCTTTCCTCCACTTCTTCACACCAACCTTTATCCTTCACTGGGCAGTTGGTTCTATGAAATTCCCTCTTCTGCACCTATGAATTCTTGGCATCTTTTGTCATTCAATATGCTTCTTCCCACGAGTCTAGCCTTTTTAGATTGAAGACATCAGATAGGGAAACACATATCTTTATTCGTCCCCAACCTACATCCTTCCTATCTCCTCCCTACTAACAGGGTTGTTATTAACAGAACTCAAAGATGTTTGTCTGCAGAGATCAGTAGCCAGAGAAAAGAAACCACAGTTATGAAACAGAGCCATAGAGCCATTTCACTTTCAGTTAAAAAAAAGACACCATTAAGGAAATAATTTTGAACATCTCTCATTTTTAAAGCTGGTTACTTAGCATAGTTTACTTTAATTGAGACAACTTTAATTTCCCCCAAACTATTGATTCTTCATTGGACTTGGATCTTACGAAATAACCTCATCTAGAATCTTACTTTAGGCTTTAAATTGGTCCATTGAAACCCCCACCCCCACCACATGCCTCTCCTCCTCCTAACTCTAGTCTTTAGTTCCTCCTGCACAATGAGGCAACATTAAAATTCTTGGGATATGCTTTTCATTGTATTATTTCTCTTGCTGTTCATGAACCAATAACAGAGCCATGCTCTTCTGCTATTTATCAGCCTAGAATGATTTCTCAACATTCATATACTTTACCCAGGTATTCAAGGTTCATCGTAGGCTGATTGCAACTGTCTTTCCAGACTTTTTTCATTACTT